TAGAACAATAGAGAGATTATTATGTAGGTATCTTTAATTGATAAATTTAAAGCTTTGTTACTATATAAAGAGTCCTGGTGATGTAGTATGTTAATTAAACACTGGGCTGCTAACTTAAAGGTCAGTAGTTTGAACCCACCAACTACTCATTGGAAGAAGGATGAAATAGTCTCCTTCTATTAAGATTTACAAGCTCAAGAACCCTATGGAAAATCACCATGCGTTTAGATTGACTTGGCACTAGGACAGAGGCTTTTCTTTGATTTTTAGGAGAGGTTTCTTGAGTATGGCTTAAATTCTTTATAATTTTTGAAAATTTGAGCAAATGAATATGCATGCATACGTTAATAAATGTCTATGTGATGTTGACCATTGATTTTCTGTCTTTTAAGGTGTATTGCTCAAGGCATAGGACAGAGAGGGAAAATGGTTTCTTGTGCCCTGCTTACCTTTGTATGCAGACCCTGGTCAGCATGGAGTAAATTTATACATTGTGAGGCATTTTAGTTGGCTTCTTTAGGGAAATTAGTTTGATTCTCTAATTATGTAGTAATGCATTGAAAGCTACATTTAGAGAATAATCTGTACTCATTGCTGCTATAGTCAGGGATACTAGTGGGGAGCTGTACTCTAAGCTTTAATATTGAAAGGAAAAATCAAAAGCAATGGTAATTTATAATTTTATGATACACGATATGATCAAATATACTTGTGTCATGAATCTGTTCTTATCATTGCTGTTACTGCTTTATTAGACATATGTTATCATATGTTGATCGCAACTCAGCTCTCCTCATTGCCATTGAGTTAGAACAGACTCATAGCTGACATTCCAGAATGTTTTTCAGGGCTGTAAATCACACAGGAGAAGATGATCCATCTTTTTCTCACAGAGCTGCTGGTGATTTTGAACCAGCAAAGGGATGCAGTCCTTGGGTGAGTGGTGCAACTCCTGATGAACAGTGCCACTAGAGCTTCCTAACATGAGTGGGTGGTTATAGATGAGGAAAATTAAAATTTTAAGTGTAACAGGTTAGAGCCACTAATGCATAGTTGGCAAATGGTTTCTGTAAAGGGCCAAGGGCTACTCAACTCTACCATTGTAGTGTGAAATCAGCCATAGACAGTATGCAAATTAAAGACTCTGGCTGTGTTCCAATAAAACTGAATTTGCAAAGCAAATAGCTGCCATGGGCCATAGTTTGTGGACTTCATCTCTAAAGTATAATAACCAAAAAGGTTGATGAGAATACACAACAAAAGTATCTCATAGAAACTGAATGCAAAGGCAACCCAGGACAATTAGACAAAGACACATTTATGATACTCCTTTTAGATCCCTTGCAGCATTTTTGGTTAAGAATATCAACTTGACAAGTACAAAAGTCTTTAGTTTAAATAATAGAGTAGCAATTTTTTTCTAAGTTAACAATGTGATTATAAGTGTAGTAAATATCTGAGACTTTTTTTTTATTGTACTTTGAAAAAAAAAAGGATTTATTTAGTAGATTATCTTCTGGTCACTTGAATAAATCTCCAGTTTGGAGGCTCATGTGTGAAGAAGTTGGGTTCTGGAAGGTGGGTTCTTCTTGTTTTGGTTGAGGGTTGGGTGTGGACTGTTTGATTGTTTTTATTTTGTTTGCAATCATATGTGAGCGATTGGATTTTCTGTATTTAGCTAACAATGAGTTGTAGGCTGGAAGCCTCTTGTTCCGAGCCATTCAGGACCTGGTGATTGGCCCTGTGTATTTAAAAGTAGGTTGGGCCCTTGGGCCTGCTTCCCTCTGGCCTGGTATTAATTGTGTTTGGAATGAACATTCTTCGAAGTGGTATAACTCTGGTCTGTCAGTGTGCTGTACTGAGGTAACTTGGGATTGCTGTGATGCTGAATGCTATGCTACTGGTGTGTCAAATGCATAGTGGTTACCCATGGTGGGCAGTGTGTGATGGAGCTTCCAGATTAAGAAAGGCTTAGAAGTAGGAATGGCATCCACTTTCTAAACAACATGCCTCTGGAAACTCTATGAACTTAGAGAAATGACAATAGTTATGGAACAAGATTCAGGTATTTAGTTCAGTTCATAGGGTTGCTATGAGTCATGCTTGACACAACCTTCTCCTGAAAAAATATTTAGTTGAAAAGGAACTTGTATTTATTTTTATTTTTTTTATTTTATTATTTGTGTGTGTGCATGTACGGTCAAATCAGATCTGACTGGTACAGGAGGAGATTGTCCCTCCTGCCCTGGCAGAGCATCTGGTGGATTCGAACCATGCACCTCTGGGATTGCAGTGCAGCTTCTTGCCACTAAGCCACCAGAGCTCCCCAAGGAACTTGTATTTAGTCTGGTTCATAATTATCTTTCATCTCCCACTCTATTTTCCTATCATAAAGGTTTGCACCTCATAAGCTGTATTGAGAGTAGTAGTTATCCAAAGTAGAAAACAGCTAATTGCTCATTCTTTTGTGGTACGATAATTTACTTGTATAATCATCACTTTTAGAAATGCAAAGTTATAGAAAATATAGTGCATTATCTCATTTTTAAGTACAGAAAATGCTGTATAAAACTTTATGATTAAGTGTTCACATATCTAAGACTAGAACTCAGTTTTCTTGACTTTTCCGCCAGTGTTCTCAATTCTTTTTTAAAGCAGTTTCTATATATAAATTTAATAAGTCCTCTGGCCCCCTCTGGCCACCTCTAACTCCCTTTTCCTTAGTGGGTCACATCAAATTGTGGCTAACTTTGAAAAGAATGAGAATTCAGAACACTTGATTGTGTTTATTTGAAATCCCTACTTGGACCAGGAGTAATTCATCAAAACAGAACAAATAAAAACTGCATTGTTCAAAATCAGGAAAGTTGTTCGCCAAGGATGCATCTTATCTCCATACTTTTTGAATTTATATGCAGAACACTATCTGGGAAACTGGACTTTTTGAAGAGAAATATGGTGTCAGGAATGTAGGAGGACTCATCAACAATATATGCTATTCAGATGACACAACCCTTCTTCCTGAAATTGAGGAGGACCTGAGGAATTTACTGCAAAAGGTCAAGGATTGCAGTCTTCAGTATGGATTGATATTAGACATCAAGAAAACAAAGATTCTCATCATCCAATTGGGAGCATCATGATGGACAGAGAAGACATTGAGATTGTTAATAGCTTCAGCTTGTTTGGCTTGAGATTCTTGGTACCAGCAGCCAGGAAATGAAAAGACAAATTGCCTTGGGAAAATCTTCTGTCAGGTACCTATCCAGAGTACTGAAAAACAATGATGTCAGTCTAGAAATGAAGGTGCTAATCCAGGACATAGTTTTTGTTTTTACTTGCTATGCATCAGAAAGCTGACTAAGGATAATAGAAAAATAACTTATGTCTTTGAGTTGTGTTGCTAGAGTAGATTATTCAACATACCATAGACTGCTAAGAGAACAAATATGTTTGTCCTAGAGAGGGTGAAAACAGGCTGATCCTTGGAGGTAAGGATTTTGAAGCTGCATGTCACATTCTTTAGGCCAAGAGGGATTAGACCTTGGAGAAGGACGTCATGCTTCGAAGGGTGGAGGGACAGCACAAGAGAGGTAGATCCTAGATGAGATGAATTGTCTCAGTGACAAGGGTAATGGAGTTACATATGTTGGAGACAATTGGCCCAAAATAGAGCAGGGTTCAGAGGTGTTTTACAAAAGGTTGCTATGAATTATATCTTGGCGGCACATAACAACAACAACAATAACCAACACAATAACCAACCTCTTAATTAACACAATATTTTCATAGCTATAGTACCTGTTTCTCCTTTCCTTCTTGACCCTACACTAAAAAATAAACAAACAGACAAATCCCCACATTTTGGTTTCATTGCATTTTTTTACATATGTGTCTTTTTATGTAAGTAAGACTATGCAATATATTTTCCTTTTGTGATTTGCTTATTTCATGCACTATAATGTCTTTAAGTCCATCCTTACTATATG